AACTAAAGGTCTAACTCTATGCTAGTCAAAATAATCCCAAATATTACCAATCCTCTACCAAATTTAACTATAGGTTGAATATAATTGTTATTATATAATTATCCAGGATTTCTTTATATTCTTATTTGACCATCTGACTCAAAAAAAACAAATCTTAACTAATCCAACCATATCATTTGTTTCCATTCTTCTTCTCAGTTTCTTTTTTCTTTGTACTATCTCAAATGATTATTTTTCTGTTTTTCAGTTAAAATAGGTTTTTTACGTGTAGAATAACTATTAAGACCCATATAATGAAGATACCTTCTAATAGTACTGTTATGTAAAGTTGTGTTAAAATTAGAGTTTAGTTTATTTGTTATATCACTAAGGGGAGAAAACTGATTAGTACAGATTATGCATTATAAAGCTTAAGTATTATATTGAGAGATTATTTTTAGATGTCTAGGATATTTTTTAGATGCTGCAGAACCTGTTTTTTTATATTTTTTAATTGTATCATTTATTATACTAGTAGGAATATCAAGTTGAACTGAAATAACATTTTGCCTAATATCACTCAAATAAGTACTAATAATACACTCATATTAGATTTCTAACAGTTTGTTTTTATGCATTTAAAATTAGAAGAGAAACAAAAAACAATTTATTTTTTTATTTATATGTACAATAGGGCAAAATTATTAATTGTAAAACTGAATACTGATACACGTGACTAAAAATCTGATAATTTATAATAGACCAATATATAGCATCAGTAACTGTTTTAAATAATAAAACAATCAATTTAAGCCTCATTTCAAAAAGTACCTTCAAAATATTCAACTAGAGCTATATTATACTATGATAAATATATAAAAAATATTTTATTTTTCATGAGATTCACATCATATAACTTTGTTAAAATTATAAAAAAGTAGATTTATTATTCTATATATCATTTAATCAATTATTATTTATCTAACTTTGATATTTTAAATACTATGCAAGATATGCCTTAATATTTACTGATGTGATTAAAGGCTTATGTTAAGCAAAATAATTGTTTAACCTAACTACAGAAAGTATCTGACCAATAGTACAAGTTAAAATATCTTAGCTGGTTTTTTTTTACTATAGTTATTGTATTTTTGCAATATATAAGTGACAATTTTTTTATCATTGATAATAATTTACTTAAGATAGTTTTACCTTGAATCTTTAATTAAAATAGTCAACTAAAACAAGATTTTGAATTAATAGTTTTTGTGTTTTCTATTCTTTATAAAGTATTAAGAACTATTAACTTTTCATTACTGATAGTTATGATAATAGTTTAATAATATCATTATATTATTAGCAAAAAATTATACTACTGCATTATTCTATTGTTAATTTTTTAAATATTTTTGTTGATAAAATATTATTTTGATAAAAAATTAAAATAAACAAACCAAATATATATTTATTTGATTTAATTTAAGTAAATAATATCGAAAATATTATATAATTATAATTTTATAAAGTTACATGATGTAATTAATATAAAATGGTCCTAAAAGATAGCATTTAGAAACTTTAGTAGAGTTTGTATATTTTATTTGTATTATTGATTCATTTTTAATAATACTTTAATAATTATTTCTCATATATTTTTATAATACTAAAATAGCTTTTTCACTAAAATTTTACTATTATTTTATAAAGACTATAAAATTTTTCTAATGTTAATATGATATTGATAAAGTATCAGTAAAATACTAACATTGCAAATTCCTATACTAATATATCATGAGATAGTTACCATTAAGAATAGTGATATATATTATTAATTATTATTATAATATTATCTTATATCATTACATAAATCTTAAAGATATTGATAAAATTTGTTATAATATATTTTTAATATCTTATTAATATTATATAAATATTAGAATAATATATTTTTATTAATTATAAAATTAGATAGCCTTAAAGTAATACATATTTTTTATATAGTTAGTATTTTATAAATCATAAAATAATGTATTATTATTACTATAATCATAAATAAATATGTATTATTAATTAATCTATTACAAATAATGAAGATAATGAAAAAACATGTCACTATCTATTATCTGTTTATATTATATATCAGATAGCCAAGTTTAGTTTAATTAGTCTTCTCAAATTATTTTACAATAATAAATACATACAACTTATTATTTTTATCTTTATGATTAAAAATTGTTTTAATAATGATATAATTTTTTATTATAATTTTATATTTATATTTATAATAATATCTTTAATATATTAGTAATTTTTAATAAAAGTATCATATTTATTTTCATAAAAATATCTTATAAGTTTATAAATGAAAATTTTTTATATATTAAGATCATATTATAATTTATATTTAAATATAATATCATCAGAATAAAAATCATATATCTATAAAAATGTTTTTTAATTTTAGTATTGATATATAGTATTGATATATGTTATCTAAGAGATAGCTTAATAAGATTATTAATATTTATATATATTAAAAAATAAAATAAAATAAAAAAATAATTTAATATAATAAAGATAATAAAATATTAACGTTAAAAACTAATTTATTTGTTTTAATATCATTATAATAAAATTATCTTTAATAATAAACTAATCATTAATTATCTATATAAAATCATCTAATAAATTAATAAACTTTATAATATTTAAATATTCTTAGATTAATGCTATTATTAATTAAATATTATAATACAAAAAAGTAATATCTTTTTATTAAATCAAATTTATTATTTTTTTTAATTTATCTTTAATACTAATTTCTTAAAAATTTTATATACAACTTTTTTTAATATTTATCCTTAAACTGTAAAACAGGCAAATTTGTCTGCAAACATAAAAAAAAAGTATTAATTTTAATAAAATATAAAATATTAATATTAAAAATATAATTATTATATAAAAAATATAGTTTAATTAAATTATTATTATACTAGTTTTTTTAGATCATGAGTAAATTACCTGCAATATCACAATTTAGCAGAAGGTTCCTTCACACAAAAGATTAAAAATATAGATATAAGATAAAATAAATAGAAATAAATGAGACAAGTGGGTGTGATATGTGCAATTAATTATTTAACAAATAAAAGGCTAATACTACCTCTGTCAACGCGTATGTACTAAACAATTTATTTCTTAAAATTAATTCTAAAACAGATTCTTTTTTTTCTATATCTCCTATAAAACTACTCCTATTTATATAAAAATATATTCTAATAATAATAAAATAAAGAAAATAAATAAAATGGATAAAATAAATAAATAATATAAATGAATAAAATAACAGAAATGACAAAAATGTTATTAATGAATTTAAATGATAAAAATGATAATTAGATTACTAAATTGGAAAATAAGAAATGCAGATCATTTATCTATTTAGTGATATAAATGCAAATCCTTTTATTATTACACAAAATTGATCATCTTTTTTTTTATTTTTATAGATCATTTTACATATTATTTTTAGATGTAATATTATTTAGCATATTTGCGAGTTTAAAAAACTTACCAAAATTTTATTTATATACAATTTAACATATTTTAGAAATCTGTATATTTCTATTTTAGGATTTAGAAGGATTTTACATATGGCGGTAGTGTAAGCTCTTTGAAGTGATATTTACTTCTTAGATTTTCAAACTTTATCTAAAATGAATAGTATATTCACTCTTCTTTATTGAAGCAAATAATTTAACCTGATATTCTTTTAATTTTTTAGATTTTTTTCAATTTTGAATCTTTGCCAAACTTGTATTAGTATTTATTTGTGATAGCTAGGCTTTACCAAATATCGTAAATATTATATTCCTAATTCATGATGTTAAAGTACTATAGAGGCTTTAATATTATTTTAATAGTTATTAATAAGTATTAAAAATATTAAAATTATATATAAATCTTATCACATTTATATTTAAGTAAACAAACTTATAGCATGATAAATAATTTTTTCATAAAAAGATGTCCAATGCTTTTAGGTAAATTTACCAAAAAATTCAGAGTGATTTACTAATACATATTTTTCGTAATTTTTTATAATTCTTCTTATGTTAGATATATTGATTTAATTAGCGTCATTATCTTTAATTATAATGATATTTACTAATACATTAATTTGATATCTCATACAATATCAATTTAATGTTAATAAATTATTATTATAATATTATTTAATATTAAATTTATATTATAAGTAATATCAAAATAATATATAATAAAATATTATTATAGTATCAATTAATATTATTTAGTTATTTTAATTAATATTTAATTTAACATTATACTAATATTAAAAAAATATATAAAATATTAATTTAACATCAATTTAATATTAAAAAATTATAATAATATCAAATATTATTAACAGAATTTTGAGAATTTCTATAAAGTAAGTTAAGATTAATTTATATTTTACTATTATATACTATCCCTTAAAGCATAAATATAAATTAGTTATAAAATATTGTAGAAAAATTATAATATTTTAATATTTAGTGATTATAAAAAAATAAAATAAAATTTATTAGATTTATTATATTAAGATATATCTAATAATAGTATTTTAAATTTTAAAATTATTAATTATTAATATATATAGTTATTATTGGATATAATGAACTAGCTGTTCTAATAGGTTTAATTTGATATATAATGAATTCAATATATAAGATTCATGTTATATATCGAACTATTCGATATATAAATTTATCTAATAAAATTTAAAATGTATATAAATTTATCACATGACGATCATATTTAAAATGCAATAAATGCATAATATATTATAATAGTTTTATTTAAATATTATTATCATATTAAAAGTAATAAAGATTAACTTGTTTAAGATTTTTTATAACTAATAATTTTACTTTTTTATGTAATTTTCTTAAAACCTTTAACTCTTTATTTACATTTCCAAATTTTAGTCCCTGTTCATAAAAATTTTATAGTTATATCTATAACTCTTCTACTTTTATTGAAGTTACCTTTTCTAATATAGGCGTAAATTCATTTTCATTCACTATATCTTCTTTCTTATTTGTATTTCATATAGTATCAACTATTTCAAAATCTGTAAGCCCTCCTTTAGAATCTTATTCTCAATATAAAAGTATTTATATACATTAAGATCATTATTTAGAAGTAGAGAAATTAACATTTCAAGTTCATTAATTTCTATATCAAGACTAATATATTAGAATTTTACAAAAATTATTATTAGTTAAAAATGTTTTTAAAAAGATTATATTAATATAATTTATATACCTATTATCAGAAAATACTGAATCATCATTAAGAATTTCTCTAACTTCAGGAAGAATACCTGTTTTCTTCTAACAGTTTGAGATTGTTTGAAAAAATATTATTGATCATATTTCAGCTGCATTTTGTAAAGCATTATAAATAGTATAATCTGTAAGTTCTTTCATAATATTATCTTGCATATCATTATATATATTAATCTTATTCAAAATAAAAAGACGTTTATAATGATATTTGAAAAAATAAATTATTCTTGCATCATAGGACTGAAGTTTAGTAGTAGTATTTTGTAAAAGAAATTTCACCTCTATATTATCTAACTTTTCTTTAATTTCTTCTAAAATGAGATGTACTAGTACATTATCAATTAAAAAAATTATTCTTCACTTTTTTTGTCTCATTATTTCATTAAATTTAAGAAGAATTTCATTAAAGATGCTAACTTGCATTCATGTTTTTTTATTTAAAAAATAATAGACTGAAAGGTTTTTATAATTAATATTTTTCATGACACAAGGAGTTTTATATTTATGAATAAATATTAGTGTTATTTTCTTATTACTAATTGCATTTATTGCACAAAATATTATAATGTAAGATTTTTTTTTTATGCTCTGATAGAAAATTACGCATCAAAACTCTAAAAGGTTCTATTTTCTAAAATAAATCAGTTTTATCACTATTTCAAATATCTTCAGGATTATAAGATGCAAGAAACTATTATAAAGTAAGATAATCTTTTTCTATCGATTCAGCTAAGGGTGTACTTTTAGCTTTATCTTACTTTTTAAATTAACATAAACCATGCCTTTTCTTGAAATTACTTTAACAAGACTATTATAATGTAATTGATCTATATAATATATTATAAATAGTTATGTAAGTGACGTAGTTAATAGGATTGACTTAATAGATTTATTTAATTTATGTAATACAAGAATGTTGCAGATCTAAATATCAGACATATCGGACATATTTGATATATTTGATATATCTGATATATTTGATATTAGATTTACATTAAAAAAGTATATAAAGAAGACTAAATTCTTGATAAAGAAGTAACTATCAATTGCTAGATGCAATTTGATCAGTTTAGCAATAACCATATGCAACCCTCTTTATAAAATAATGCAAGGCTACTCTTTTCTATTTTGTAATTAATTCTTCTTCCGTATTCTCTTAATTTAGTATTTTTAACTTTTAGTTTATTTATTTATCAATAAATCTTTATTTAATTTACTTAAAACATTTTGTAATATTTGTATTTATAATGTAATTTACATTTAATTTTGACTTAATATATAGAAATA